GTGTACATTGCAATGAGTTTTTAAAGTAGGTATACCCATGTCACTCATACCACCATAGAGATAAAAAATTATTTCACGACTGGAGAAAGTTTCTTATGTACCTTCCCAGGTCATCCTTGCCATTTCTTCTTCCCCCAACCATGATTTCCTTATAGTTTTGTATCTTTTAGAACTTTATATAACAGGCATTACATAGTATATATTCTTTTGTGCCTGTGTTTTTTTCTCTACATAATGTTTTTTGAGATCCATCCATGTTATTGAATTTATCAGTAGTTCATTATTTTTTACAGTTGAGTAGTATTCCACTATATGGAGATACCACCATTTATTTATCCCTTCTCTTGTTGGAGGAATTTTGAGTTGTTTTCAGTTTTTTTGGCATTATGAATAAAGTGGCTATGGACATTCTTGTGTAAGTCTTTGTTGTACACCTATATTCATTTCTCTTAGGTAAATAGCCGCAAGTGGAACTGCTGGATTATAGGGTACATTTATGTTTAACTTTATGTAAAACTTCCAGATTGGTTTCCAGAGTGGTTGCAACATTTTACACTCCCATCAGCAATGTGGAGAGTTCCATTTATTCTAATCTTTGCTAGCATTTGGTACTGTTGATGTATTAGTCACAGTTCTCCAGAAAAATAGAACAAATAATACATACTATTATTATAATGTATTTTATAAGCTATAATTGACATTTTCTTTTTATGTGGATGTTCAGTTGTACCCATACCATTTATTGAAAAGACCTTTTTGGTTTACCTATTAGATTGCATTGACACCATTGTCACCTGTACAATTGTCAGACTGAACTGGAATTTCCAGGCTAAATCCAAATTCCTTGGAGAGAGAATTTTATTTTCCCAGCTTAGGTTGGGTGCCCACTCTAGGACAATCTACTGTGGCAATTTGGATGAGGTTTAAGGAAATCACATGGTACAAAAATGGCCTGTTAACCTAGTCTCTCCATCAAGAATGGCATTGCATCTCTTCCTTTTTAAAAATATTTTTTATTTTGAAACAACTATGAATTCACAAGAAGTTGCAAAGAAATGGAAAAGGAGGTACCAAGCAACCTTCACACACCTCTCCCAATGTTGACGTCTTGTATAATTTATAGTGTAACATCAAAACCAGGAAATTGATCTTGGTATCATCCACAGAGCTTATTCAGGCTTCACCATATATATATGCATTCTTATATGTGTGTGTGTGTATGTATGAGTCTATAGTTCTATGCAATCATGTTACCTATGTAGCTTTGTGTAACTACCACCTCAATTAAGATATAAAAATATTCAGTCAGCCCAAGCTTCCCTCATGCTACCCCTTTATAACTATAGCTACCCTCCACCCCTAATCCCTAATCTGGGAACCACAAATCTGTTCTCCATCCCTATCATTTTGTTATCTCAAAAATGTTATATAAATAGAATCATAGAGTAGGCAAGTTTTTAAGATTGGCTTTTTTTCCCCACTCAGCACAATTCCCTTGAGTTCCATCCAAGTTGTTGCAGGTATCACTAGTTTTTTGTTGCCTTCCACGGCAAAAGGGACTTTTGTAAGTAAAAAAAATAAGAATGTTGAGGAAGGGAGATTTTCCTGGATTGTCTTTACAGCCCAAAGTAATCAAAAGGGCCCTTATGGAAGGGAGACAAGAGGGTGAGAGTCCGAGGTATGAGAAGATGCTATCCTGCTGGCTCTGAAGATAGAGAAAGGGCCCACGAGCCAAGGAGTGCAGGAGGCCTGTAGGAGCTGGAAGAGGCAGGAGACAGATTCTCCCCCAAAGGTTCCAGAAGAAACCAGCCCTGCTGCGACCTTGATTTTAATTCTTAAAGACCTGTGTGTTACTTCTGACCTCCAGGACTGAGGATCATAAATCTGTTGTTTTAAGCCAGTAAGTTTGTGGTAATTTGTTATAGCATCAATAGAAAACTAATATATACGGTAAGTGAATTTTTAGTTTTAGAAGAAATTGCCAAACTATTTTCCAGAGTGGCTATCTCTGCTTTCTAAGATCTTACTCTTTCTTCAAGAATCACCACATATTCTACGTCTTTCTTGAAGCCTATTCTTATTCATTTCTTGAATATTTTTTAATGCCTTTTATGTGTCAGATACTCTTCTGAAAGCAGTGAACCGTACAAACGTGGTCCTTGCTTTCATAGACATGAAATTCTAGAGAGGGGACACAAATAATACATAGATAAACTTACAAATCAAGATAATATCAGAAGAAATAAATGATATAAAGAAAATGAAACAACTTTATTAGTTGTTTTAGTTTAGGTCGTTGAAGAAGCTGTTTTTAAGAGTTTTTTTTTTTTTTTTTTTTTTTGCTGAGGACAATTTGCCCTGAGCTAACATACATTGCCAATCTTCCTCTTTTTGCTTGAGGAAGATTAGCCCTGAGCTAACATCAGTGCCAATATTCCTCTATTTTGTATGTGATTTACCACCACAGCATGGCCCCTGAGGAGTGGTGGAGGTCTGTGCCTGGGAACTGAACCGAGGCTGCTGAAGTGGAGCATGCTGAACTTAACCACCAGCCTACAGGGCCAGCCCAAGAGAGAAAATTTGAGCTAAAACTTGAATGTTGTAAAGGATTCAGCCATGTGGAAGTCTAGATAGGGCAACAGCTTGAGAAGCACTGCAAGTGGGCAAACCAGAAGAGAGCCACTGTGCCTAGAGCACAGTGAACGAGGACGTAGAATTATGGTAGCTGAGATCAGATAGATGGACAGGGGACAGATCACTGGGATAGGACAAGATAAGGAGTTTAGATTTACCCATTGTATAATAAGGAGTTTAGATTTACCCATTGTGTAATTGTTACCCCCAGAAGATTTCAAACAGGGGAGGGGCATGATCTGACTTATGTTTGAAAATGGCCACTCTCTTTGCTATAAGGAGAATGGTTTGGAGAATAGAAGAGAGAAAACCAACTGAGAGATTATTGCATCAACTAAATTGAAAGCAGTGGAGTTAGAGAAAAGGTGACAGACTTAGGATTTATTTGTGGGATATAGTCAATAGGATTGCTGCTGGATTGGTGATGGGTATGAAGGAAAGAGGGTTTTTTGCTTGAGAGCTAGGGCGTGGTGGTGTCCTTAACTGTGGATGATGATTATTTTGGCTATATGGTGCTAAAATGACATAAATGTAAAATCAGCCATTATATTTGTGTCTGAGTGGAGAACTTGTCAAGTGACAATGAGAGGTTGGTTCTGGAGACATAAATTTGGGAGTGATTACTTCATATTTCAGTTTAAGAGCTTGGATGGGATTAATCTGGAAGAATGCAGACAAAGAAGAGAGAGGGATCAAGACACTTCAATTCATAGATACAGTAGAGGATGAAGAACTTTAAAAAAAAAAATCTGAGTAGCAGCACTCTGTGAAGGTAGAGAAGGACCAGAAGGGTATAAAATCATGAAGCCAAGAAAATGAAAGTCTTTCAGTGAAGAAGCTATAGACATTTGTGTTGAATGCTACTGAGAATTCAAATACATGGACTAGGAGGATGGCTGAAATTGATTAAATTGTGGCAATTTAGTAATGGAGGCGGGAGTAGGTAGAGTGAGGGAGCGATTATAATGATGGGCAATGGAATCTGAGCTAGATGTAGAAGGAAGGAAATGAGCAGATAATGGGGTGATATAGTGAGGTGATGAGGTCCACGGATCAGCAGGCTCGGTGAAACTGGAGAATGAGATGATAAGACCATGAGTACTAACACAGGTGAGCTGGCAGTGTTTGTGATACAAGAGGATGCTTGAAATCAAGATTTTGGGAATGGTACAGTAATTAATGATGATGAGATCCAGGTATGTATGATCATAGGAAATATGGTGGAAGAAGGCGTCGCTGGAATGGAGAAGGCCGAGGAATAGAGAGGCCAGGCAGGATGTTAAATATGTGGTCCTTGATGCCAAGAGTAGGGGTACAACAGAAGCCAAAGAACCAGTCTCAAAGATTTGCCCAACTGAGTATAGTCTCTCCCTCTTTGATCTTCCTTTTTAATTTTGTACTTTCTTAGTAACTCTTGTCTTATTCTTTGCCATTCGTGTATTTGCTTTTTTCCCTTCTTATAGATTAGGCAATGAAAACAAGTTTGTTGCTATCTCCTATAGCACAAAGCACATGCTCTCTAATACAGTGTTGCAGTGAATAAGAGATTATAAATAGTGACTCCAGGAAGCCTCTGTATGACTGAGGGCAGAACCATTTCATTAAGGGCCAGTCTAACTTGGACTAGATAGGCGGCTACAAGACAATGGTTTATTTTAAGTATAACGCTTTAGAGAAATCATATGTTACACGACAAAGATATATAGAAACAGTCAAAATTTATTTTAGAAGAGATTTTTTGATTCTTAAATAATATAAAAATAAACAAACATTTGCTTCAGCACTTATATTTCATATAAGTTAATTTAAATATACATTTATCTGAGGCACCAAAACATTCACATATACATTTCAGATTCCCAGGTTTAATCAGCAGGTTGATGTTAACAACAAATCAGTTTTGTCTTTTTAAAATCAGTGAAGTTAATTTTTATCCAAGTCCCTCTAATATTGACTATTTCTTTCCTAACCATAAACTTTTTAAAAATAAAATCTTAAAGAAAAATTCCCCTGAGTTATTTCTCTTTAATAAAATTTAATTTCCTCCCTCTCCCTAACAGACATGCTTTTTCAATTATTTACAAAAATATTGATGTTATGTGTAATCAGTGCTTGATTTAAAAATATTAAAACCCACAGTGCTTTGCACAGAACATCTCCTCAATAAGTCATGGTTGAATGAATTAATGAAGCAGCCATAGGTCCTTCAAAATGTATAAAATGTCAGTTGCATGGTACATCTAAGCTAATGAGATGCAATGTTCTCTGTGGGCTGGTGTATAGGTAAATCTTAAAAACATAAATTCCAACCTTGTATATGTCTCAGTATACTGGAGTTGGTTCCTGAAAATTTCTTTATAGGTTTTTTTTTTTTTTTTTTTTTTTTTGTGAGGACGATTGGCCCTGAGTTAACTCTACTGTCAATCTTCCTCTTTTTGCTTGAGGAAGCTTGTTGCTGAGGTAACATCTGTGCCAATCTTCCTCTATTTTGTATGTGGGACGCTGGGCTGGCCCCTACAAATCTTAATCTAATAATGTCTTTTGTAGTTTACATAATAATTCAAAGAGGTAATTCCAAAGATATATTGATTCTGATATAACAAAAAAAATCAATGATTGCAGGCTTAAAACCAGTTTATAACAATAATGTCCTAATGAAACATAAATAATAATATTCAATAAATTAAGTAATACACAGTACCAGAAAATGTCAGCTGACAATGAGATGTGGAAAAGAAGAAGCATCATCTTCCTGGGGACTATTCAGGAGTTGTTTGGTTTTGTTTTTAAATTCATTAGAACAGGAAGATAAGTTTCTTCCTGTCAAGAACCCCCCATGGTTCTTTCAAAGGCATTAGCCTCTTTGTGGGCTTCTTCTGTTACACATAGTTCAAATTAATTATAAATAAAGCTCTCTGCTTTTCATGAAAAATGAATGCATACCATTTTGTAAAGGCCTTTTTTTTGGTGAGGAAGACTGGCCCTGTGCCAGCATCAGTTGCCAATTTTCCTCTTTTTGCTTGAAGAAGATTGTCACTGAGCTAATATCTGTGCCCATCATCCTGTATTTTGTATGTGGGATGTCACCACAGCATGGCTTGATGAGTGGTGTGTAGGTCTGAGCCTGGGATCTGAACCTACAAACCCCATGCCACTGAAGTGTAGCCTGTGAACTTAACCACTACCCCACTGGGCTGGCCCCTGTAAAGTCATTTTTATGGGTTTTTAAAAATTTTTCTTTTATTCCTCTTAAGAGGAGTCAAATAGTAGTCCTGAGCTGAGGTTTTCCTGAAAACTTGCAAAAGTTCAGATAAGAAAATATAGACAGAGAGTCCAAAGAAAGACAAATTCAGATCTTAAAAGCAAGAAAACAAAATAAAAGAAGTAAACTGATCAGAAGAGAGTTTCTCTTAGCAAAATGGCTAAGAGAAATGAAAGGAACAGTGCGCAGGTAGTTGCTTCTAATGCATCATGAAGATACACTTGAAAGTATCAATAGTGTCAAAAGAAACTTGCAGCATTTTGCTATCTTGTAACAGTATTTAAATGTTCCAACATCTTTGCTTTTGTTCTTATTATACATAACGTAAATTGAAATTCAAGTAAAAACATTTCAAACTCACTTCCCACTGGTTTATAAAAAGGAATGAAAACTGTTTCCCCCTTGCAGAAAAGACACCTTTAAAATAGTGACACAAAAATCTTCACAAGCATGCCTCCTTTCTCCTTAACAGAAGATGTTAAGTAACCTGAGGAGTTCAATATAAATATTAAATAATTAAGTTAAAAGAAATAGTTCATATAAATAAATAAATATGATCCATAGATTTCTACAGTTCAGTTGAACGTTCTTTGAGCAGTACTGTGGGATTCACGTCATCTAGTCCAGAGTGGGAAGCGCTGGCATTAATGGTGACTGCTTTGCTGAGCTGCGGGTCCTGAACACTGAAGGCAGTAAAAGGACAGCCCTTCACGTTATTGCAGATGAGAGACTGAATTGAGGCAGTGTTGATGATTTTAAAACCTACTTCTCCACCAAAAGTGCTGGGTTTCCAGTAGTCAGGAGAACAGATAGGATTACCCAAAAGTCCTTTCAAGGAGAATGGTGCCCCAAGTTCTACCATGGTCTCCCCGAAGATGGCATCTGGGCGAGGCTTTTCCACCAGAAGGGCAGGATACAGCTCCATGGCATCAATGTCACCATAGAGTGCTTCTAACTCCGCAGCCATTTCCTTCTCTCCTGGGAAGGTGACAGAGACAGAGATACAACCAATGTAAAACATTACACAATAAAACAACAGTTTTAACTCTTTGCTCAATTTGCTTTCAACTTCTCTGTTGTTTCCGTTTGACCTCTGACTCTTTTAAGAAGTTTAGAAACTGTTTCTCACCTGTAAGTTCTTCAAATGATTTATAGGGCGTCAGCCGAAAGCGTTTGCGGTACTCATTCAGAGACTGGTACTTCATCTCTCTGCTCTGGTCGATTGAGGCCTTTGCTATTTTCTGTGCTGCAGCTGGAACATTCCTACCACCAGCCACCTGTGGACAATGAATTAAACTGTAGAACAAGATCTGTAGGCATATTTATGATTTCTATCTTAAAAGCATTCCTTGGGTACACAGCAGGTAAGATGAATGCTCCCAGCTGAGACCTAAACTATTCAAGTTTGAAATATTCATTTCTACAATCTCTAAGATTATAGAAAGTTTTGAAAAATATCCATTTTTAAGGTGTGACTACATATTGCTATCTGATAATTGTAGACTAAAAGTTTAGACTTTTCAAAAAATGTTAGGCTTCTTATTTTAAGAAAAGAATCTTACTAGCAAAACAATGAATTCTTCTTTTATTAAGTTTAAGAAGAAATTCTAGCTACTGACTAATCCTTTGTTTTGTTTTTCAATAACAATGCGTACCCTGCCAGCAATTTGCCTGCTGAAAGATTCAACAAACTGGGTGAGTCCATGTTCCAGTAAGATAGAGTTGTTGTAGAGAAACTGTTGAAAGTTGTACTCCTGGTCATCGATTTGAAAGGTGTCAGGCAGAAGGGGATGCCAGTGATAGAGCGTGTTGAACTCAGCGGCAATGCGGTTTTGGTATTGGAACTGTTGGTTGAAAAGCAGCTCTGGGTCAAACTTCAGTTTGAAGTGATAGCCGCTCAGGTGCTGTACGTAGTCTTCAATCACGATCTTGATAGTTTCTCCTGTTTGCACAAGATAAAGAATTGAGAGCATTAATTCTTTCTGATCACAAACTTTCAAGCAACTGAAATGCAATTTTAATTTGCTGTTCCTTCACTTCTGTTTTTTCCTTTTTACTATCAGAACAAAAGGGAGTTATATTACCAATCACGCTCGAGGATTGAATGAATACGGAGCATGTGATTTTACATTTCCTTGGAATTACTTAAAACATAGCAAAGGGGACAAGTTAGCTTTCACTCGGGCAGAGGGTTTTATCTCAATTCTTTCCTCTTGTTGCTTACCTATCAGTATGAGCCTGCTCGTCTGGAACAAGCGTTCATCATCCCATTCTGGATGCTCCTGTTTGAGGACATCACACACTCTGTTGTGTTCCCGCAGCCAAATCGTGGCATACATCATCAGGCCAGGCACCAGACCAAAGACCTCCTGCCCCACAGCAAACCGCAGGTGCTCAGGAATATGAGGCGGGTAGATCATTTCCACCTGAGTGTCTTTGACTGTGGGCGGATACACCTCGCCATTAATGATCTATAAAATAACGGCAACAAGTTAACATTAATCAAAAGGAGTTAAGAAATGAATTTTAATCATTAGAAAGTTTAAAATATAGGTAAGTGGTGAGGCAGAACTAATTCTTAATATCCAAATGGAACAAACCTGATATTTCATTTTTCCGTCCTTGAAAAGGCGCAGTTTATGCTGTCTATCCAAAGTTTCACCATAAATATGACTTAAATCCACCTAGAAGATTACGGAAAAATTTCAATTTGTTGCTGTTGAAGTTGTTTTTATATAAAGGGTCTATAATTTATCATTAAATAATTTGATGATTTAGCTTGCTTTAATTAAACATTTTCAATAAAACATTTTTTCATAGCCACAAAATACTACATTAATTTGTTTATCTACCGGAGCTACAAACCCATATATGTCTCCTGTGTTGAAAGGTATTAGTATCTCATATGGAGCTTATAAATATATCATACGCTTCACTGTAATGCCAGGGAATTTCTTTTAAAAGCATCAGAAAATTTATTACTGGTATAAAATTCTTATTGACAAATTGAAGCTATGTCATTGAAATCCAAGAGATGATAATGCCGCAAAAATCTCACCTTATAATATTTAAAGCAGCAGAATCAGGTACAAACATGTTTTGAAAAGACAACTTTTTGCAGTGCTGATATTTTAAACTAAAATATAAAAGCCAAATTACAAATAATAATATTTGCATTTATGTGTGTACGTGTGTGTGTGTATTTTTACTGAACCAGTGAATTAAAATAGAAACTCTATTAAGGATTCCATAGATAGGACATTTTCTAAAAGGAGGGTGAATTATTTGATATGGCAAATATATACACGGTATTAAATGTTAGCACTTCACTATAATTTGCTGTCATCCTGATTTAACTCGGTCTTACCCCGTGACCCAGGCCTTTGGTGAAAGCTGGACCTCGCTTAGGATCTGTCTTGAAAAACTGATGGGTGAAGTGCTGGGCAAAAAATGCAAACATCATATTTGTGCCCTGGGGGTCAGGGATGAACTTTCTTCTTAGGAGAAATTTTTCCACAATCTCTTTTGAATCAGGAAGCTCTTTCTTCCCTGAAAAATGAGAAAGCTAAGGTAAGATTCCATCTGTATATTCAAGGAAGCAGACAGTGACTGTCCATTTATAGCACATTCTTTACTGACAGGAGAAATACAATTATGAACAGGATCATAATATGAATGAAAGTTCTAAGATGTGGGGGAACAGCTTCTCAGAGGATAATTTTATCTATTTCCTTTAACTAGTAGTAATTCAGTTGTAATGAAAGAATTTGAAAATATTCAGACATTACACCAAAATGTCCATTCACTTTTATGGCAAAAACATCTCCATAAGAAAGGAAAAAACCATACTTCTACTAGAAATAAATGATAGTTTAGGGTCAAATGTTCAAGGTAGCAATCCACCTTCCATTGCAATACAGTTCAAACTGCCACCTCTCACTCACCTTTCACACCCATGGGGGTTGGGCAGCCGTCAGCCACAGGAGGAAGAGCTCTGGTGTAATACGAGAGGTTGGAAAAGGATTCCCAGCTCTTATAGCCATACTGTGCATTGTAAGTTGGCGGGCTCTCAATCAAATGTGATCTGGCTGAAATTTTCAAGGAAAAGAAAATGTTTTATTTGCTCCCATATGCAACGCAAATCAATGCTCATTTCTTATTGTAAGATGTGCAAAGTGGCATCAGAGATTGAATCTCATTCCAACAAAGATACTCTATTTTAAAACAATTACATTTGGAAGTCTAACTGTCACTTATATTCAAAAAAGAGGAAAGGATGATTCATTTATAAAACGCATCTTTGATAAAGTATATATACTTTATGCAAGACATTACGGTGTAGCCATCTTGATTTACTTTAGATATGAAGTTGTTTTCTAGTCAACCCAAATCCAAACTAACCATTTATTTTAATGGGTGCAATTCTGTGGCCCGTGGGCATTCAATAAAACAACTGAACCACATTTCCTTCACCAATCGGCAAGAACAGTGAAGGCTGGAAGAAGTGGGCAGGATTGTAGGTAGAGTTCTGACTGTGAGACAGAGCTTCATAAACTGGAACCGAAACGTCAATATTTTTGGCCATTAAGACAAAAGGCAAATTGGAAAGATATATTTAAAGTCATTTTGACAAGGTTGGAAACACATTTTCTGAATAGGTACAGTCATGTGCAGTATAATAAAGTACATTTTTCTTTGAGGAAGCTGAAAATCTTAGAAAGAGACTAGTACTTACATACTAACACGTATTTCATAACTGCATTTCGCAGGAAGGGAAAGCTATTGACAATGTTCCAGACTCCCTTGAAGTGGGTAAGTATGTAGTGTACTGTGTTTGGAGTAGGTTTCAGGAATAATTTTATCCTTGTCAGAAATTCAGCTGCAACAAGAGAAAAGAAGGAGGGAGAAATTAACCAGGCCCATTATAAGACACGAATCTGTAAAATGATAACTGAGTCTATTCCCATTCCAAATGAGGGCCCCCAAGGGCAAACTTACGTGTTGAACAGTTTTCACCATAGAATCCTGTGCGCGTGCAGTCACACTGATACTGGTCAAATCCCACACTCATACATACACCTCGGTTTTGACACGGGTTGGAACAGCAAGGATTTGCTACAATAAAAGTAAGGATAGTAAATACATCATTCTTCAGTGTCTTAATCTTGATTTAAACATTTAAGTGTTTTACTTACTAGGAGTCAACTTTACAATGATAAATGCAAGAAATAAACAGGTAGTCATGGGAAAACAATTTTTTTTAACCTGCTTCACAGAATGGTTATACGGAGAAATACCAACTTCTTATTCTAAGTAAGGGTAACAGAATAATCAACCAGGGAAATCATGTTGCTTTTTCGTAGTAAGTTTTTAGATGTTCAAATTAGCATTTTTAAGAAGCTCAAATAAGCAGCAATTTCAAAATTAAAATGGATGATCTAGTACAATAATCAAACTTTAGGGAAAATTTCAAAGTAAAAACAGCTTACTTTTACTATATTTTGCTTATCTTAGAAAACAATCTGGACTTTCTTGGGGCAGGAAAGTACCAACCAGGTTATTTAAAACAATTACTCCTAGTCAATGACAGTAGGTACCACACACAAACATTTCACATATATTGATCAGATCCTATCTGATTATAACGACAACCTGCAAATTAGTATCACTATTCCTATTTAGCAGAGGAGAAAACTGAGACCCAGACTGGTGAAGTAACTGGCCCACGATGATCCGAGCTGGTGGCAAAGCTGGCATATTCACCCAGTTCTTCTGGACTCTAAGCTCTTTACAAAGCCATACGGCTCTCTATTCGGAGAGTGTGCAGGGTACCGGGAGAATCCGGGAGGGCACAGCGGAAACGCGGCCTCTGTGCGCGGAACCGAGGAGTCCCCGGTGCAGGGTGCCAGGTACCTACCTGCGTGGCCGAGCGCCAGGGCGACGCAGAGCAGCAGGGCGCGGGCGAGCATCTGGGCGGCTGGCAGGACGCGGGCGGGCGGAGGCGGTGCCGGGTGCGGGCTGGGAGGCAGTGCTGGAGGAGGCGCTGTGCGGCTTGCCTGGGCGGACCTCTGACGCTCGCTGCAAGTCGTTTGACAACTGGAAGCTAACGGAGAGGACCTTCCTTTTATGCGTGAAAACGAAGCCCACGTGATGGAATGACTGTTTTTTTCCGCCTTTCCTTACCGCCCCCTTCAAACTTTTCTCCCCACTCACTTTTGAGTGCGTAATTGCGTACCACCCGGATGGGGCAGGATCTTTTATTCATGCAAATGAGAAAATCGGCAATCCGAGAAGCTGCGGTCGGCTTCTCTAAGGTGGGTGCAAAGCGGATTGCCCCCAGCTCGGCTCATCTCCCTATTCCCCTAGCCCAGTTTCTCTGTCTCCGGCGCCCGGCTTGGCGCCAGATTCCTTTCCTTCCTCCTGGTCTGACCCTGGGCTTCCGAGAGCCGGTGCCCAGGCAGATCCCCTTGAGGAGGCAGGGGCGCCGCTCTGCTTCCTCTCCGGGAATCGGCGCGGCCGGAGGTAGCAGAGTGCAGGGAATCCCCTCGCGCCGCCGCCCCCTTGTCTCGGCCCTAGGTCTCTGGGGGCCGAGGAGGTCACGGTCAGGACAGACTGGGACGAGCAAAGCCACGAAAGGCTGCCATGTATTACCCATGTCGTGGACAAACGTGTTTGATGTCATGTTTGATTTTAGTGACAACACTTAACCTAGTGTATATGCAGCTCATACATTCGTGCATACCTTTTTAAAATTATTTTTATTTGACCCAATGAAATATAATAGCTGTAGTCAGTGTACATATCTGTAATTTCTCATTATAGCTAAATTGTGTTTAACGTAAGAAATGCTGTTCTGGGCCGGCTGGGTGCCGTGGAGGTGAAGTTCGCGCGCTCAGCTTCAGCAGCCCGCTGCAGGTTCCGATCCCAGTGCCGACTAGCGCCACTCGTCAAGCCACCGTGCGGCGGCACCCCACATAAAATACAGAAGACTGGCACAGACGTTAGCTCAGGGCCAATCTTAAGAACTACTGTTCTCCACACCACCACCCCCTCCTTACTTCTTGGAGAGGAAAAAAAGGTAGATTTCTCTCCAGGATACCCCTCCTAAGCAGTTAACCTGTAAATAGTTAATTCGAGCTCAAGCAATCACCACTGTAACATTTCCTCTCCTCTTATAAACTGGGGAATCGGAAGCGCCCCGGATCTGCAGAGATGCTCACCGTCCAGAACATCTGCTTTAAAGCATTTCTTTCTTCGCTGTGTGATTTCCACCATTTTGGTCGCCAGCGCTTCACAGGAGATACAAATAAAAGGAAGCAGATTTTTAAAGTTTGCTTTTTTGTCTTTTTTGGCTCCTTGTCTAAAATGGTGGATTGTGACAATGGATCAAAGTACATTACCTGTGCTTTTCAACTGTCTGGATTTATTAGGGCTAATTTTCTATTCTCATTTTAGAACGTAGTTTGATGAGCAATTGGATGGAATGGATATAAAGGAAGGGTGATTTTTGACAATTTTGAATTTCCTCATCCTTTGCTTTTGTTTAATATCTATCTTTTGGTGGTGGTCGGGAGGGGTGTGTGAGGGTGAAATACTAAGAATAAATAAATAAATTAGCAGCAGCAAAGTGGAGACTGAAAAGTTCAATCAAGGCATCCATTCTTAGCATTAATGGAAAAGGGCAGCATACAGCCTGAAATAAAACTATACCGGATACTTCAATTTGTAGAAGTCTTAAAGAAAAAAAGAAGCTCGCTTGGAATTTTTTTTTTTTTTTTTTTTTTTTACCATTTTACTTAATGTACACATTATCTGATTCTACATGAGGCACAAATGACTAAAATTCCATCTCATCCAGGAAGCCTTTTTCCTCCTCTAGTCATGTTTAATCATTCCATTTGTGACACTCCCGTTTATGGTATTGTCTTACATTATGGTATTGTCTTACATGAAATTTCAACTAAGAGCATAGATTTTTTAAAAAAATTATTCCGTTTAATATTTCCAATTTTCTGTTTCATTTTAAATGAGGAGGTTGTATCTACTCAAATTTTTTTTTTTTTTTTAAAGATTTTATTTTTTCCTTTTTCTCCCCAAAGCCCCCCCCGTACATAGTTGTATATTCTTCGTTGCGGGTCCTTCTAGTTGTAGCATGTGGGACGCCGCCTCAGCGTGGCTTGATGAGCAGTGCCATGTCTGTGCCCAGGATTCGAACCAACGAAACACTGGACCACCTGCAGCGGAGCGCACAGACTTAACCACTCGGCCACGGGGCCAGCCCCTGTATCTACTCAAATTTTACACTGATATTTAGGACTACTAATTCGAGCTTGGTTAGATGCCATGAGAGTATCCATATTCTGACTCTGATAGTGTACTAAAATTTTATGCCGTAATCCTGAATGCATTCTGAAGTGATCGTCCACATTATCCTCCTCATCAGATCTTAATTGTATACCTACTGTGTATAGAAGTGTGTTCTGCTGTATGCAGAGAGACTGAATCCAAAGGGGAGGACAAAACAAGGCATGGAGAATAATCACATTTAGACTACTTGGGACTTGAAGAAATTCAACTCCATCATAGTGGAAATTCAATGAAAAACATCCCTTTGGTTAAACTATTTGGTTTAATTTGTAACTTTTGTAGCACCGTAGAGTGGAAAGAGCTCCTTGTACCTACACAGTCAGAAAAGAGCTCAAGGAAAAGATGACCCTTTGAGGATGGGCACAGTTTAGAAAAGCAGTCCCAATATGGCATTGAGGAAAAATCATTAGATATGATTTGTTAAATAATTTTGACAAGATAGAACAAATAGCACATTCTAGGATGCTGGTCATGGGGGTATATTAAATGTCCCAAACCAAATCAAAATGGCTAAACCTGCTTTATGTGGAAAAGCACTATCGTTATTGAGACATGGTATATCACACAATAAAAAATAAGGTTTTGATTATGTAAAAATTAAAGCTCACACTTTTGTATATATTTGGTGTTTGTGTATATTTTAGAGAAATATATGTATCTGTTGTACAAAATTTCTTTTATTAGTCTGAAATTTATTGGAAAGTTTTCTGCGAAGGGCACATAAGAAAGCATATTAAAAATCTTCCAGAGCATTCTATTGAGTTTTACTGCCCCCTTCTGCTGCTTGAATTTTTATCAACTTCTTTTTCTCTATGCTGCTGTGAAGGTCACCAGGTAGATTTTGTGTCTGATGTTATAATGTTCTTACAAGTCCACATGTACAGGGTTCATTTTAGTATAACTTTCATGAATTTACTGAAAAGGAATGAAATATTTCTTAATTGAAGTGATAAGCCATTCATATGAGTTAAAAGAAAATGAACAATAAAAAATCTTATTACCCAAAATTCTACATGAGCTAACATTTTTTGGGAGACATTTCTTACTACTCTAGCAGTGTTCTTCCGCTACGACATGGAAGGAAGCTCATGTCCACATCTCGGGCGAGGAGCCTCTTTTCGTCTCCCTCCCCTCTGCTTCCTCTGACGTAGTGACTCACCCAGAGAGAGTGGAGATTGCCCTTATCTTTTTCATTCATGGCATGCTAGCTAGAAAAAGAGCTTTGCCATTTTGCATCAGGGTTATTCTTAAGAGATATTTTAGCAAAGCTATGCCACAGAATATGTCTGTTTCTTGAAGGGTAAAAATGCTACTTATAAAAGACCTCTACACCAGTCCTTTAATAAATCCTAGTTATGTACTCATTCCTGGCTACACAAGATAGAAGTTTTGAGGCTAGAAAAAAAAGCATAAAAATTTTTTTAAATAAAAAAAGAACTCTTGTCAAGTAAACCAAGGGAGAAATACCAAATAATCTCCATTTCTAAGTTTTATAAAAAATTGATCTTCTTTCTTTTTCTCAAAACTTAATTCCCTGATAGATTTTTCTTTTTCTTCATTTCTCGTGGTTGTGTATCATAACTACTCAGACAAGTCAAGTGGATTGAACACAGTCCTTGTGCTGGAGCTAGGAATCTCAAAAGGGGATAAGAAAGTTTAGGAGAGTGTGAACAGGAGGGACTGAGGTGGGCATGGCGAGAACACACTCACCAATTAAATATCAGGCTTAGGATTTCCACCTTCTGATCCAGCAGTAAGGAGCTAAGAAGTTGCCTCTCCATCCTAACACCAAATAAAAGACTGAACAGACTGAAAACTCAGCGCTCTTCTTAGATCCCTCATAGAAATGAAGAGATAGGATAAAATACTGCCCCCAAAATTGGAGATGTAGGCCATACAGAGAAGCACCACTTACCAGAGCAGAAACCCACAGGCAGAAACTTCCATGGAAACAAGTACTTGGATAAGAAAACCTGAAGAGGAATTGACGAATTGCTGGGTACTCAATGTGGGGAAGTCTGAGAGTTAAAACTCCAGGGGATCGCCACACTTTGGTGACTTTTACTTCCTAAAGCTCTACCAAGTTCTCGCTGTGAGTATCAGGGAAAAAAAGTCCTCTTGAGGGACTGGCAGGGGAAAAGGAAAAGAAACCATTTTGAAATATGCCAGAACATTCTTTTCTTTTTAACAAGGCCTACACTCAGGAGAAGCTATTTTACCACAGCCTAAACTGTTGGGATTTTATCAGAGCCTAACTGACCTGGGAGAAAGTAAATTATCCCACTCCAGCCCCCTCCAGCTATCTGTCCCACCTAAGGTGTAGGAGTGGGGGACTCAGAGGCACTTGTGACATTCACAGTTCAGAGGCATGAGCTGGCTAAAGCACTGAGCCCTAATCATAGAACTATAGAACACTTTCTCTCCCCCAACTCCTTAACACTATATCATGAAAGGCCTATTTATAGGAGTACATTTCTTCCAGCACACAATGTCCAACTTTCAACCCAAAATTACAAGGCATAGAGAAAGGCAAAAAACACATTTTGAAGAGACAGAGCAAGCATTCAAACCAGACTCAGTTATAGCAGAGATGCTGGAAATATCAGACCATGAACCTAAAATAACTATGATTAATATGCTAAGGGTGCTAATGGAAAGAGTAGAAAATATGCAAGAAGAGATAGGTAATATAAGCGGAGGGATGGAAATTCTAAGAAAGAAT